CCCCAAAACCCCAAAACCCCAAAACCCCAAAACCCCGTTTAAACTTTTATACAAATTCAAATTTTATTTATTTTTGTCTTAAATGGGCTGAATCGAGAGTTCAAGTGTGAAAAAGAGGAGAAAACTCAAATCAGAAGCGCAGATCAAGAAGATAGAGACTGCCCTTCTGGTAAAGATATTGAAATTTGACCTCAATATGAAGATGAACCCTCATCTTACTATTGAAGCAAGATTTACAAGAGAGAACACTAATGATATGGGAGAGTATCTGATGCCTCAAACGGCTCATATAATTATCATGGAATTCAAGAAGTTTATGTATCTCCAGACAACTGTTATCCAGAAGCAGCTGAGAGAAGGCAAACTTGATCTGACTAAGAACTTTAAGAAGAACAATATGTGGCATTTTTCAAATCAACTTACCGCTCCTCCTTACATTGATAGGGTCTGGAGACTGATGATCTTGTACAATAAGAACTATGAAGAGTTTTGTCAGAAGATTTGCGGAGGGTTCATTGAAAGAGAAGATCCTAGAGAGAACTATGACATTAGTTATGTAAATTATGTAGCTGCGTTAGCTAACCTAGGTCAGAGAAAAGATATTATTAAGCCTTTTCATAATTTATGGCCAAACTACAACAATGTCAGTGAATACATGACTGATTATGAATTTAATTGATATATCTCTGGACAGGGTATCCCTCAGATGGTTGCATACATGAATAATCACTGAGTCGAAGCTGCAAACACCACCATTCAGATCGAAACATGTAAGAAGCTTGCAGACCAATGCAGAAAGCAGTTCACTGTTGCAGGACAGCCTATAGATACAAAGGTGAACGTTGTCCAAGGAAATTATGTTAAGCATAAATTCTTCAAAGCAAGAGCTCAAAATCCTCAGCAGATACTTCAAAAAGCTCTGACACTTATCTTCCCACCAAGATTTATGAACAATCTTATGGCTGAGCAGCTGATCGATATAAATACAGCTAACAAATGGATCTTAGAATACCGCAAGTATTTAGTGCTTGCATATCTCACTGATAATATGATTAGTCCTAGCGAGCAAGTTGACCAAGTTTGGCATCTGCACATGACTTATACACAACACTACAGGGCCACCATGGAAACACTGGTCGAGAGAGAATTCAAGCATGCTCCTTCATCTGGAGGGAGTGCTGAAGGAAAGAAATTTGAGAACATCTACCAAGACACTCTCGATTTTTATAAGGATATATTTTTAGTTGATGCCCCTCAAGATGTATGGGAAACAGCTCAGCAAAGATTTGAGATGAAAAACTTTGAGTATAGGAACATTAACCTATACCGTCTTGCAGTTTTGTATTCAATGAAGGTTGCAAATCCCAATTTCTTGCAAAGGTCAGCTCCACAAGTACCTACAGCTCCAAGCGCACAAGTCGTTCCAGCTAATGTAAAGGGATTACCTAGTAGCCAGAAAAAGATGATTTTAAGAAGGAATAAGAGGAACAAGTATAAAAATGAGAACAGAAACTATGGATGGAGAAATAATTATCATGGGGATACCTATTATGTGTACCACCATCACTCATTTTCTTCATATAGCGGAGATAGCCATCATCACCATCATCATCACTACGATAACAGGCGTTGTCGTAACGATGATTATGATTACTACGGCCCTGACTACATGGTCGGAGGAGGATTGCTGATCATTGCCAACCCATGTGACCACACATACATCAATAATCCTCACTTCGGTGACTGACTCCATGACGGATTCTACGACGACATGGACCCAGGCTGCATGGATGACTACAACATCGACGACATCGCAGATCTTGCAGAAGCTGATGTGGATATTATGGGTGATCCTGAAATCGCAGAAATGGGAGAGGAACTCGGCATTGAAAACATAAATGAAGATCTTGACATCAATGATGATATTGCAGACCTAGGAAACGAAGACAACTTTGACTTCAATGATGATGCCTTCGCTAACGACGATGGATTCGGAGCTGAAGACCTCGGGGATGCAGGTGATGGAGATGCTGGAGGATGAGCTGGCGGCGACGGTGGAGGCTGTGCCGGCGGTGATGGCGGAGGTGATGGAGGCGGCTGAGCCGGAGGAGACGGCGGAGGCTGTGCTGGAGGAGATGGCGGAGGCTGTGCTGGAGGAGATGGCGGTGGCTGCGCCGGAGGAGACGGCGGCGGTGGTGGCTGCGGCGGAGGAGACGGCGGCGGCTGTGGTGGTGGCTGTGGCGGAGGCTGTGGCGGAGGCTGCGGTGGAGACTAACTGACAATAATTAGCTTCATTTAATCACTTTTACAAACATTTAATTGTTCTTTCTGATCCATTGTTCATTCCTTACTTTCAACAAGATTGAATAAAATGGGGTTTTGGGGTTTTGGGGTTTTGGGGTTTTGGGG